CTCTACAGATACAGAACTATAGACCAGTCGCTTTACTTTCAGTGATATTAAAAATCATGGAGAAAGTCGTAAACCACCATATCCTGGAATATTTGGAAGGCTTCAACATCTTTAGCGATAATCAATATAGTTTTCGGAAACAAAGAACAACAAGCGACCTTCTATTGTATGTCACCCATATTTGTGATAACATAATAGAGAATCATGGAGAGTCAAGAGCTGTTGCGCTTGATATTTCTAAGGCCTCTGACCGTCTGTGGCATGAGAGTTTGCTGGCCAAACTTCGATGCTATAGCTAGCTTGTCGGATTATTTTTGTGTATGGCTCTTCACCTTCCTGAAAGAACGTTCCCTGCAAGTGGCTGTCGATGGATATCTCTCGAATACTTTCACCATCAACGCTGGTGTTCCCCAAGGATCCAACACGCTCTCACTTTTGACTAAAAACTACTAAATTTCAAAAATCCTGCATTTTTATATGGCAAAGTTATATACAGGACATATGTGCATCTTCGGAGAAAAAATATGATCCATATTCCTGTACACAATAAAGAAATTTATTAAAGGTCATTTACGTATCAGATATTTCTTCACGGCAATCTCCTGGATGTTCCCGAGTTCTCTACATCAATTCACACCTTCAAAAAAATGTAAAAAAACAGTTCGGTAATTATATTTGAGTTCTATTTAAATCCTGGTGCTGGAATGTTTATTTATGTTTGTTATGGTTTATGTGGAAGAATTGGTTTTAAGACCTAGCATAATCTATTCATTTACCTCGTTATCTAATCTAAAGAATATTTTATGTTATGGTAAATAATAAAGCATAATTATTATTTGTTTTTACCGTAGTGTGCGCTGGTCAGGCCCTATCCCCCGAAGCCCCGATATATTCGAGAGGGCGCGCCAGCTTTGTCAACCAATGACCACTCCCCACACCGTGGGGTAAGTGATCATTGGGTCCGAGAATCATGAGCAAGCGCAGTAAGCTAATAATGATATAATGGTAGAGAGGACAGCATTCCACCAAGGACTCCAATAATCAGAACAACCATCTTGACAGAGTGATCTGGATAGAGTCTGCGGAGTTCGAAGAAAAAATTTCGATATTTTATCCGTTTTTCCTCTTCTTTTCTGACGATATTTATCTCGCCAGGAGCTGAAAACTACACGACAAATATCGTTTTCCTGTGGTGGTCGAGAAGGACTACATTAGGCTTATTAGCTTGCATGAGCCTGAGAATGGGAAACGAGTAGTTCCAATAAAGTCGGCACTTCTCGTTCCCCACAACGGATTCAATATCCCCCGGAGCGTAGGGCAACACCGGTGTCTCGTCAATACCGTAAGAGTGCCGTAGATGATAATATAGCACTCTTAGGGCCGCGTATGCTGCACATGCTGATAGCAAGTGCATTAGGGTATCGGGCGCCTCGCGGCAGGCCCTGCACCTTGTGTCAGGAACCTCTATACCCATCACACGACTGCGGTAGACTAAGGTGTTGAAGATACCATCCTGGCAAGCCATGATATATATTGTTGAAAAGACCTTTCGCATTCAGATTAATCGCAAGATTCTGTCTTCAACAAGAAAGTTTCCGTTGTTATATTAGAATATTAATGATTAATTATGCAACCCATCTATTGGGGCTGTTGACACCTAAATGATGGATCAAAGAGATGAATTAGGTTTATGAATTTTAGGAAGTCCAAATAATTTATTGATGACACCATTGATATTTCTATAAATCTCATCTTCATTTTCTGTTCATTTGAATATTGGAAAGAGTGTCTCTTCTAATCAAAGCACAACGTATCCTTGCGTTTTCTGAAATGCTAACGCAGTGTTTGATGATTACTCTGTTCGTTAAACATTCTGTATGAAGCACTTCAACTCTACAGTAGAGTTCATTTTCCAACCAAGTCTGAGTTAGTATTTCAAACAAATTCTGTCACAGCCCAAAAAAAGCTTTCATTACACATAAATCTGCTCAAATTTTCCAAGGGTTGCTGTGGAAGGTGTGTGTAGGAGCTAAAAACGATTTCAAGTGTAATAATACCATTGTCCAATGTAAGTTCTTTTTTCATCGCCTGGTGCATTATATGAACAGATAGGAAGGCACTTTGTGAAACAAAGTGCCTTCAACACATAGCACACATAGTGAGGAGAGTTAACAAACCAGGTCGTGAAGTTTCCAGGGAAAGTTGTTTCACCCACCTGATGATAACATACCAAAGCCCACTGAGCTTTCATATGCGACACGTCAATCTAAAACATTATTTAGGCTTGGAGAAGCAATCCCTGCAAACTTGGAAAGCTCATTACGACATTGTCGCCGAAGAATGGCCTACCTAGTTAAAAACACGAATTAAATTTGACATCCTAAACATCCGAACGACAAAACATTCAAGACAAGCTAGGGATCGACCTATCTACGGCATGGACCCGAATTCCTTAATCAGATTCTTTGTCGGTTTTAATGACGTGAAGGGAAAAACGCACCTGGAATTTCATTAAGGACGACAAATGAAATTCTGGAGAAGAAAATAATTGCACAGAACACAATCGGGCTGTCCAATTGACCACATTTGAGTGAGTTTATGAAAGGAGTTCCGAGAAATTGGAGTTTTGTGAGATAATATTTTCGTATATATGCTTTCAAATCGAATTTAATAGAGAAGTTGGCGAATTCATAAAATGCAAAAGTTCAAGTTCTGTTGTTGTTTAATTCGTGAATCTTTACGTCATACTACGATTTATCTTATGCATAGTATACTTTTCATTACAGGAGAAATCAGAGAGGTTAACATGGCAATGAAAACAGTAGTTAAATGCTAGTTGTTCAGTTCAAATGAGAATGAAACGGTAAAAAATAAATAAAGAAATGAATTAGTGGCCTGAGAGTTGATGACAAATTATAAGAAGGTATTCTAGGCAATCCAAAATAGATTAATAACTTCAGATCACACTCGTTCATACTTTTGAAAAGTATATAGAATACTATGAAATATATGAATAAAGGGAGTTTATCTAAGTCAATCTGATATTATAGAAGATATTATGATAAGAAGAAAAAAATGTTAAATAATATATACCTTTTTATCGGTGGGGGAAGCGGCTATACTGTTGCATGGACATACTCGAGCGCATCAGATATTGATAGCATCATTGTCCTACGTATTTTTAATAATGTTGGTATGTTAATCTGATCGTTTGCATGATGTGGTCGGGTGATGAAAGGG